CGCCATCTTCCAGCTTTCTTCCCCTCGCGGCAATGCCGCCATCTCCCTACTCCCTTGCCTTCGCGGCGCTGCCGCCTTGCCCCGGGGACTCCCCCCGCCGCTGCCCCGGGAGCTTTCTAGAAGGAAGGGAGCGGGCGTGAGGGAGGAGGAAGGCAGAAGGACCGCTGTCGCCCGTAAGGCCAAAAGCCGTACTGCTCCTCCTCGTCCCGGCCGCGAGGTCCCTGTACGGTGAGGCTTAGGGAGAGCCCAAACTGCAGCAGCAGCCTCAGGGAGAAGGCGCTTTTGCTTTTTGCCTCAAGGAAAACCAGCCGGGTTTAGGCTAAATTGGTGATGGGAGATAACCTGGCAAAAATGGCTGGGCTGGTGGCGACTGAAGCGCAGCTTCTCTGCTGGGACTGCTGAGGGCTGGGTAGCGTCTGTGAAAAGAGGCAGGTGCTGCTGTCCTCGTCTTGGGGCTCGTTTCGGCTCTGACTTTATTTGCGTTTGGAAGACAGTTTGCATGGCTTTGGCATATTTGTGTCGCAGAGGTATCTCTCTCTCCAGCTCCAAAGAGGAAGAAGATCTTGAACCATAAAATGAAAAAAAAAATAAATAAATCCAGAGAAACCTTATAATGCTGATGTATTCAAAACTGCAACTATTACTGTTAGCATTATCTTCCCGAAGACGCCAAGACCCCAAGGAAAAAAAGTTGCACGTGGCCTAAACTTTGACCACAGCATCATCAACTTTTACATGTTTTCTCAGTATTTCAGCATTGTTTCTAGAAGCTGCCCTCTGAAGGACCGCTCGTTTTAAAATAAAACCAAAGTCTAATTTAGGCTCATTTGCAAGATCAGAAGGAACAACAGATAGTTGGCAGTACTTGCATACTCTGCGTACCCCAAATTCTCCTCACTTCCTTACGGTGATAGATCATGTTTTTTTTAAATTTGCAATTACACATGCCCATCAAATGCCAAAAAAAGGCCTGCAGTAAAACACTCTCCCTCTTTTGGGTCTTCTAGCATGTACTTCATTAGGAGTAACTATTTTTGACCGTAACATTTACAGTCTGACCATCTGTTACTTTGTCAATGTGACAGCAATTCTTTTCTATTTCTAATCCATAATTCTAGCAGCGCTCAGTACTGCCAGCTTTGTCCTCCTGTTACTTTTTACTCTTCTCCAGCTGAGCTGATAGATCCATTTATAAAATCATTGCTAGACTTTGGACCTTGGCTACAAACTACATTCCAGACTGTCTTTTGTACCCTGTCCCTGTACTTTGATATATCTGATGCAAACTGTCTGTCCCTGAGGTGCTCCAACTTAAACTCTCTGTGTCTTCTCTCCTTTTCCCCTTGGCAAGCCAGTTTTAATTTGCCATCATTTCTCCAGTAGTATTTCTAAAACACTCTGTACGTCCCTTCTGGTTCCTTCCATCCTTTCCTTCTATCTCTCTGTGCATTTTGATATCTTCCTAATCCGCTGATCTCATTAGCAGTATATTGCCCAGTTAGTTTATTATTTTCTCTATACTTTAGCCAGACTATTTCCTCTCTTTCCTGTATATAGTCAGCTGTCATTACACACATTCATTTTCCATGTTCCTCTGCAGTTGTTTTCAGCCATTTCTCTCTTGCCAGCGTAAACCGTGCCTAGCTGAGCATTCATCCTTATATAATTTTAATATATTCCTGGGCTTCCTGTCCAAGTCCTTTAAATAACCTCTGTCCAACTTATTCCCGTTTCAGGGAATTGAGGAAGATCCACCTGGCAGCCCACTGACGAATTCACCTGGCCTCCCCGTGTGTGTGTGTATCCTGGTGTACCTGCTGTACTCCAGCATGAACCCTGCGAGCTGCCGCTGGGTGTATGAGGGGAAGGGGGAAGATTTTTTATCGTAGGACTTTAGAGAGTGGCATGATTTTGTAACTAGCCTGCAGCGGTGACCCAAAATAGGTATCCTGCTTCTAATTGGATCAAAACTGACCACCTGGATTTAAGCTCATCACCTTTGGGATTGTTTTTTTTTTTGGATAATGAGAGTTACTTTCAAGAGTTTTGTTATATTCCCCAAATATTCTTTCCTTAGGTCTGAGGAAATGAATAAGATCAACAGCACTGGTTGGCTGTCGTAGGGTTTCTTGATCCCAGAACAAACCATGAAGTAAAATAAGTACAGTGAACTTTTTTTTTTTTTTTGGGGGGGGGGGGGGTTTTTGGTGCCAATTCAGGTTACAGACCTCAAGTCATTTGTCAAACTGAGGATCGGAATAGTAGAAGGAAGCTCTAAGTTGAGTTTCATGAACTCTCTTCATGAGGACTATTTAATCGTGTTATTTATAATGATGTCAGATAAAGAGTAATGCAAAATTACGATACATAAGGTTGCTTCTGCTGTGTATTTAAAAGGTTATTTTGAAGAGCATGGCTTTTACAAATGTTGAGGAAAAAACAGTATTTTATTGCTGTCAGAGACTGAGTATGGTAACATGCCTACGATGGCTTTTGGAAAAACTGATGAAATCCCCAGCAAGAAGAACATTTATTTCAGAAATACATATTGGTCCTACAGGAAGTACAGATAATGAAAGAGTTAGAAGATTCCAAATATGGTTTAAGATGAAAGAGTGAAAGTAGATGTTCGTATTTCCCCAAGAGAGATTGCAAAAAATTTGACTGTTTTGAATTTTAAGAAAAGATACTGGTCTGTCTTCTGAATGTCCTCATTTAATTTGATTCAGACAGAGTAACTGGAGTCGCAGGAAAGACTAAACCTTAAAGGGAGCAAGTTTTCACTCACTAATATGTGAAATCAATTACAGTTTTAACTACTGTTTAAAAGTGAGCCAAACAAATAGTAGAGTAACAGCCCTGGACCTTACAAGAGCAGATATTGGCTTATTCAGCGATCTGCTTGGCAGGATCCAACAGGAGACTGCCCTGGAGGGCAAAGGGGCCCAGGAGAGCTTGTGATCTTCAAGGACAGCCTCCTCAAAGCGCAAAAGGTCCATTCAATGTGCAGAAAGTTGAGCATGGGCCAACATGGATGAGCTTAGCAGCTCATGCTAATGCCTGATTGTGCTGGGAGCAATGCCATTAAGGTAAAGCGAGTGCAACAAGTCAGCCAGATACTCAAGGACAAAAAGAATGAAGTCTGTTATCCTTGTAGGTTTATAAGTAACTGCTTGTTAACACCTGAAAGGGCTGAAACTCTTTGAAATAAGGTAAATCCTTGCTTAGTAACTGAAATGACCAGTAGGGATGGTATAGACCAAACTTCTGAGCTGGAAGCCACCCAGACGGCCCTTAAAGCAGATAAACCAGCAGCTGGACTGCAGAGGCTCTCAAGCTTCCTGGTGCAATTCAGGGGATGCCTTGGGAGGAAGGATAAGCACTCTCACCCTCAGTTAGGTTACTATTTCACTTACTAGCGCGCAAAGTAACAAATTATCAAGTTACTGAATCAGTGAACTAGCGAATTAAGTAACTAGAGAATTAGCAATTTAGACTGGTCTACAGAGAAAGGATTGACCTCTTGTTTGTTTCATGTTTATTTTTTTTCCCTAATGAGCTTATACAAATAAAGTTTGTTTCGCACAGTATGCTATCCCATAAATTTGAGAGAGCACAATGAACCGTGACAAAAGCTTAGCTGGAGTTGAGACTAGCAAGGGATGCGAAGAGCAACAAGAATGGTTTCTGTGTGTACGCTGACAGCAAAAGGAAGCCTAAGTACGCTATGGGCCCACTGCTCAATGGGGCAGGGGAGCTAGTGATCACGCACATTGGAAAAGGTGAGGTACTCACTGCCCTTTTTTGCCTCAGCTTTCACTCATAAAGTCTGTGTGTTAGGTGAAGTATTACCCATAGTGGAGGAAAATAAGTTAGGGAGCACATAAGCCATTTGGATAGGCACAAGTCCATCGGACCAGATGGAATGCATCAGATAGATAGTACTGACAGAGCTGGCCAGTGTCATTGTGAGGCCATTTTCTATCGTCCTTAAAAGGTCAAGTCAATCTTGGGAGGTTACTGATGACTGGAAAAAGGCAAATGTAGCACTTATTTTCAGGAAAGGCAAGAAGGAGGATCCGCTGAACTACAGCCTGGTCAGCCTTACCTCCAACCCTATGAAGGCTGTGGAACAAATCCTCCCGGAAGCCATTTCTAGGCATATGAAGAATAAGAAGGTGATTAGGAACAGCCAGCATGGATTTACCAAAAGCAAGTCATGCCTGATCAACCTAATTGCCTTCTGCGATGAGATATTTGGCTCTGTGGGCAAGCCAAGAGCAGTGGATGTTGCTTACCTTGACTTTAATAAGGGACTTGTGGCAGCTTGCCTTAGTTTTCTTTGAGCCAAATTGGTGAGGTGTGGGCTGGATTACTGGGAGATAAGGTGGGTGGAAAATTGGCAGCATTGCTGGGCTCAAAGGGTGGTGATCAGCAGTACAAAGTCTTGCTGGCAGAGTGATATCCCTCAGGGATCAAAATGAGAGCCAAGACTGTTTAATGTCTGTACTACTGGCCTGGATGATGGGATGGAGTGCACTCTCAGAAAATTCATTTATGTTACCAAACTGGGAAGAGAAGTCAATGTAGGGCAGGGCTGCTGTTCAGAAGGAACCTCAACAGGTTGGAGAAATCGCCTGGCCCCAGTTTGGGGCTCCTCAGTCGAAGAAAGACATTGATTAATGAGACTGAGTCCAGTGGAGGGGCACCAAGATGGTCAGGGGACTGGAGCACAGGATGTGCAAGGAGAGAGCGAGAGCTGGGCTTGTTCAGCCTTGAGAAGAGATGGGTAAGGGGAGATACTATTGCAGTCTTCAAGGTTGGAGGTGGACTCTTATTCCAGGCACGTCGTGATAGGACAAGAGACAGTGGATACAAGCTGAAACATTGGTAGTTCTGTACAGATACAAGGAGAAGTTTCTTCTTTGTGAGGGTAGTCAGCACTGACACAGGTTGCCCAGCCAGACTGCAGAAATCTCCATCCTTGGAGATACTCACAACTTGGATACAAGGCCCTGAGCAACCTGGTCTAGTTGGACCACTCTTGAGCAAGGGGCTTGGATTAGGGGCCCTCTGGAAGTCTCTTCCAACCTCAATTATTCTGTAATTCTAGCAAAAATGTATTTATTTTAATTTCATTACAGTATTTGGATCTCTTGAGTCGCTAGGAGAACAGCTAATAGATTTTGGAGTTTGAAGTCAGGAAATACCATTGCGATCACTTCTAAATTGTGAAAGTTAATTATCTTTCCATTATAACATCTGCATCTGGTAGTTCTGCTTTACTATGTTACAATATGGGCGGATTAAGAACGTGCACCATTCTGGCCCCTCCTGCTAGTGTAACTGATGGGAAATAGGCAAACTACTGTAATGCTGTGTGTTTGAAACCTCAGAATGTTTTATTTATGTTTTTTTAAACTATTTTACACTTTTACCAAAGAACTTTTTCAAACACGAAACAAGTTTGAAAGGCTAGCTTTGATCTTGGCTACAGCTGTGTAAGGGAAGAACAATTCTATCGTGTCGCTAAAACATCATGATATGATAATAACTTACAAAAAGGTATTTTTCATTTACTAGAACAAAATAATAGATTAAGCCAGCAATTATTTAAAATGGTATGACCCTAATATTCTTTGGGGATTTTGGGGGGTCTTTGCCATTGAATTTAATCTTCTTGGAGAGGATGATTTCAGGATACGTAGTAAGTATTTAACATCTTTCTCTTAACTAGCTTATCTAGATTTCCTTCAGAATGTTGACTGAGTCTGTTGAGGGCTTTTCCTTCTGGACGGAAGGCAGAATATGCTAAATAGCATATTGCTGAATAACAATGCTTTTGTAATTGCATCCAACATATGAAAATGTCGATACAAACTCTTTGGCATAGAATGCTAATCTAGTTGTAGGGGGCATTTCAGATACCTAAAACTAAAACTTATATCACAGTTGCTTTTTTAAGGGATCACTCAAGAATACCTGGATCTTTCTCTCTCTCTCTCTGTCTCTCTCTCTCTCTCTCTTTTTTTTTTTTTAAAGAGGGAAAACCCACCATATTTTTTGCTTGGCTAGACAAGTTACATATTTCCTGGCCACAAATCAAATTAAATATTACAAATTGCACTTTTTGTAACGTTCATTGATGACCTGCCCAAAACAGTTTGAATGTCCAGTATTGCTAAAGTTTGTTAACTGAATGGATCACTGCAGGATTAAAATAAGCTTGCATATGGTAGTAAAGAAAAAGTGTAGGAATGGTTTCTAGACTTCTTTTGCAGTCTTACAAATCATAGAGCTTCTGGAAAACTGCGGTGTAAATAGCAAACAGATCTGAAACAGTCTTACACAGTGTTCTGGAATTTGGTTCTAGGTACAGTAAGCAAAAATATATCAAGACTGAGAAGGGGGAAGCCAAGAAACTCAGGAGATTTAGGGTTGAGAAGTTAAATTGAAAGGGCAATATCCTAAGGTCTTTATTCTAAAAAAAATTCGTTCTTCTCTCCTTGAGAAAACTGTGTTTTTAATTCACACTGATGCCTGCAGAGCACATCGGAGTGATAATAACCTAAACCAGTTTCTGGGAATTCTCCCAGTATTGCATTCCAAAGAACACTATAAGCTTGTTTATGTTCTCTCTATAAGAGCACCTCATGACTGGGCACCATTTTTTCAAAGTGACAGGACATGTTTTTAAAAATGTTGAGATGTAGACGAGTTATTGCTGTCAAGAAGAACAATAAACCTTTGATGTTAAGATCATAGTTTCAAGATCATTGACTTTTCTGGGAGAAGAGAGAGTTCCCAGCCTTTTTATTCTTTTCATTTTATTCTGAAATGCCTATTGTTGACTATTATTTTTAAGAACTGAATAGCAGACATTTTTGATTTCCTCAAGAAGTGATCCACCTGGAAAAGAGTGTTGTACTCCCTGTCTGTCTCTCAGCTAATAACTTCTAAACTTGCTGGTCAGTCTGAATCAAAGATCACAACTGTATTAGCATCCAGCATGTTCTGTGAAAACTGATCAGTGATAGAAAAATGAAACACTAACTAGTGCCCCAACAGAGGGAGAGACAATGATAGCTCAGCCTTTATCTATTTTGAGGGGAAGCAACCAGTCAGCAAATTCATATCAGCCAGCCACCCAGCGAGTGAACGTATTAGAGACTTGTTCCACAAATACAAAGATTGATATGAAAGTGTGTGGGGAAATACCAGAAGGAACAGCAGAGCAAAGGGTTGGAAGAGTGGCCTGTACTGATAACAAAGAAAACTGTTCCCCGTCAGTCACACTGAAGATTGTGTTGTTTCTGTCAAGCCCAGACAGCCTTGTGCTCTGCTAACGCTACAGCACGTAAGACTTGTTAACAGAAGACCTTGCACTCACAGGAGGATGGCAGCAAGACTGCAGCATATCACATATGCTGTTCCTTTTTCTCTTAGCACAACAGGAAGATAAAAGTAAAAGACTGTTCTTGACAGATATAAAATATCTGTCCAAAAATTAGTTTGTTGTTGCCAATCAGAAAGAACCCTAGGAGACATCATGAGGGCTTGGTAGCCAGTGTCTTGTGTCCTTTGTGTTGCGCACAAGTTTATCCTGGCTGGACCACTTGAAAACACACATCCTGGTGCTTGGGAGTATATGGGTGACAGGCTGTGAGTAAACGAAATCTATGAGAGAATAAATGTGAATTGGTAAGATCAATTTATTTAGAGTTTTTGTAAAGCTTTCCCTTCTGCAAGATGTCACGCTTAGTTTTGTTCCACTGATGTCTTACAAATGCATAGCTCCAAAACAGCCACAGCATGTGCTGCTGCATGCACGGTAAAAAAGGTGAAGTTAGCAGGCAGAGCTGGGGGTAGGAGGAAGGAGAGAGGACAAAAGATATAGATCTCTAGAATCATGCTTCATTGGTTTCATTGTTTACGGAGTAACTTGTTTTTCTTTATAGCTTCCACTTTCACAGAAACAGTTTTGTTTAGTATCCAGCGCAACTTGCTTGAGACGTAAAATCTGCTGAACTGGAAGAATAAAAACAAGGTTTAAATTTCATCAAGATGTTTCAGTGGAGTAGAGGTGGCAGATGTTATGAAGCCTGTTGTTGAAGCCACGCGTCTAGAATGAAGGAAAGAAGGGGAGGCCTCTAAGGTGCTGAAATAGTCCTGCCAAAGGCAACATCTCTGGGGCTCGCAGAAGTGCGTATGAGGATGCAATGTTTTTGGCACAGACCAGGTCCCACTAAATGCCAGCTATTTTAAAAGGGATCGCATCCAAAGAGGACAATACTTAGGGGCGTCTTAAAACATTTTCGGTCCTCTGTCAAAATATATAGATGGATTAGTTGGTCATCATGCCTGTGTTCTGGTTCTGATTAGCTTAATTAATGTGAAACTTGGCCTTTTTACTTCTGTTTATGCACTTACTCTAATGTCAAGCATGACCTTAAGCTTATTGGCCCCGTAACAGTTTCTTGTGTTGATTTTAATCTTCTAGAGCAACCTTTCTGTGTTTATTTATGTTTAACTTGTCATAATCTTCCACAGCTTTGTTATGCTATTTAAATAATAATAGGGGAATTATCTGTATTCCATTTAATACATGGTACCCAAATTTGGTATGCCTGGAGGCCTGCTTTCTTATCCTCAAGGGATATAGCTGCTGAAATGTCTGTATTCTGTTATGGCGTTCATTTAGTTTTAGTTCTTCTATATGTAGAAAACATTGTGAGCCACTGAGGAGTTGGATCTTTGTTGCATCATGCTGTAGATTTTTTTTTGAGAAGTCAAAAAGGTAGATTGTGGAATGATACGGAATTTTAAAAAATGGAGAAAAAGTTATTCAGTCACACTGTTCTGAAAACATTATGAAACGGTCAGATGTAGCCAATATAAGATATTTTTGCAAGACTGTCATTGTGGATCAATTATGATGTTGTCTATATTTATTCCCTGATTTCCTTTTATTATTTGTTGCAAATGAACTTCATGAAATACAGACTAATGGTTCATTTATAAGCTACAAGTTAGTTGCATCTTTTTGGGCTAAATTTTAATATTAATGGCATTTTAGAGTATTTCTTGCTCTGTGAAGGCCTCTTCTTACTATTATATTGAAATTAGGTAAGGTTTATTCTCATTCCCCATACTGATAACTTTTTGCTGTTCTTCTTCATTAGAATTTGACTTAGAGCAACTCCTGCTGAAAGGGCAAATAGGTTTTTTTTGTGCTTTTTCACATTCTGTCTCTCTTTCTTTCTCCAAAACAGTGTTTTTTATCCACTGAGGTTTCTGATATCATCATTAAAATAGTTTTCAGCTCAAACAGTCGGATGGAAAATGATGTGTGAAGTGACAGCATCCAACTCTGATTTTATTGCTGATATTCTAGATAATCACCGTTTTACTGTGTTATTGGTGGCACTGTTTCCAACGTTGCCACTTATAGAACAGGAATCTTCACCACACCTAAAATACTGGAATCTGTCCCAAAGTAAAATGGCAGACACCTGTATCCCAGCACTGTGAACTGCATGCATTGCATGACTGAGGAAACATCAAAGATTACATTAACAAAGCATTAAGCTGTTTGTGGAAAGTTCTCCCAGTCTTAGAGGCTGTGTCTAAGCTGGTCAGTAGGTGTGAGTTGTGATACACTCTGGCATTCTGCTCTGCTGGTAGCCCACATTACGGACGTAATCAGAGCATGGCACCACTGCCATTCTGCTTTTGTTTGGAGGTTGCTCCACTGGGCCATTGGTTGGTGTGTGCCTAGAATTTGCCCCCGGTGGCATTTAGCTGTGGCAGAGGTGTGCCCGCACACCGGAGAACCTGACAGGGCTTGGGTGTAATCCAGCTTTGCCAAAAAAGCTTCAAGCTTTTGTTATTTGAAAATTAGCTTTATTTTAGGAACTTTCTGGATGAAGAGTAGTATGTACCCAAAGAAGGTATCATACACTGGTCAAATTCTCTGAAAAGTGTATTCCCCTGCTTCAACTTTTTTTCAGTACTTACCCAAGTTTCCCTTGTTATTTTTATGTCTTGGATACATCTTCTGTGTTTTCGGAGGATGTCACACTGTGAAGAACAGTAAATTAAAAAAAAGAGTTAGACATATAGGTAAGAAAAAACTTGATTATTGTGTTCCCTGCAGTAGCAAAGGTACTGAAAGAAGAAGAATAGGTCTTTGTGAGAAGAAGAAGCTTCAGTCCAGAGTCAGATTTTGGAGTTCTAAAAGAAATCTAAGTTGCAGTGAGGAAGGGAGATGGTATTCTGTACTGTTGATAATATCAGTCATTAAAAAGGGACCAAGAGCGATATTGTCCTTGGCAGACAAAGTCCACAGGAGAAAGCACTGTAGAAACGCCCAATGAGGCAAAACTCCTGACCTGAAGAATTCACTGTCTAAAAGATAAAAAGGAAAAAAAAAAGTGTTTTCCACACTTCAGAGACGGAGAACTGAGATTGAGATTTCCTGAGTCCAGCCATGGTGAGTTTTGTTCATGTGGAAAGTTCATTTGTATACTGGCAAACTTCTCTATTGCTACAGAACACTTGCCACATAACAGGATATATAACAAGGAACTCACAAGATACTAATATCTTGTTGTTTTGTTAGTGAACTGCAGTGTAAGAATTTAGAAATGAACTTCTTGAGATCTTTCAGGTCAGTCGCAAAGGTACCTGCACAAATATTTATGGAAGAGCAAGAACAGAAAAATGGGACAGTGCTTAATTAAATTCATACATAGATCACTTTTTCAGTTTGAAACCTAACATAAGAACAGCTGTAGTTGTTCAGACCAAAGGCCCATTCAGGTCAACACCCTGTTTTGAAGATGATCTGTAGCACAAACTGGTAGAGGCAGGAGCACAAGCAGAGGTGAGCTTGCACCAATAGCTCCAGAGAGCACCCTGCTAGCAATCTGAGATCCCTACAATTCTCTGACTAGAGCTGTCTATCATTTTACGCTAGAGATCCCTCTTTGGCTTTTTCCTTCATTTATGTGCCCAATCCTTTTTGGAAACCGTGTAAACTTAGCTTCTACAATGTCATGTTGCATTGAGTTCCACAGTTTAACTAACGAGTGCAGGAAGAATTATCTGCATTTGTTTGTTACAAATTAGTATTGTTTGATCCTGATTTGTGTCCTGCAAGCACTAAGAATGTGACTAACATTACACCTGTAAACTGACACACTGAGTTCGAATAAAACTATTGATTTCATCAGCTTTTATTTGCCCTAAAATTAAGATTACAATCCAACGGGAAAACTTTTAAGTTTTTATTTAGTTAATAAACTTTGGCCGGAATAAACTATGGTTTGCAGAACTGTAGTTAGAACTACTTTCAGGGTCAGATAACATGAAATGTCTATGATTAAATCACAAACATCAACATCAAACAGAAAAAGGTTCAAGCAAGGAGACTTTCAGATGGCCATGTCTGTTTGCCAGGTCTCATATGTCAAAACTGCAGGTATATCGGAGTTCTTCACTGATTACAGAAACTTTCCGAATACCCTTATGCCGTATTTTCAGCAGTCTTCTCAGAGGTTTCTACTAGAAATCTGTGGAGCAAATGTCTTCTTTTCCAAATATCTTTTTTGCTTTTATGGCTTGAAGTGCCAGATGGATGAGCTAAATGTATTCTCTTTCAACAGTCAGTGCAAATTATGTCAGAAGTGGTAAATCTGTAGAGGAGATTTCCAGATAACGTGAGAAATTATAATACCTTGGAGCCTATGTATAGTAATGTAGTATTGTAGAGATAAAACTGACTGGATTTTCATTTCAGGGATATTATCTAACACATTTCACTCTCTGGTGCTTCAGAGGTTTGTAACTAGAACAGCCTGTTCCCCTTCATTTGAAGACTTCTGAAAAATACACCTTTGTATGGTTTCCCTTAACACATTATAAAGATTGATGAAACTCTTAGGATTACATCTAGGTTTTAAGAGAACTTTTTAAAAATAGCCTTGCTACTTTGGCATACATTGTGAATATAAACAAGAGCATGTAGGCCATAAGATCAGTTTAGTTCACGAATGCATTTGTTTTTGAGTTAGGGTGGAAAAACCAAGAAGTAGATAACAAAATCCATTCAATTTCTGATTATGATACTATTCCTTGTGAAAGGAAATGCTACCAATAGATGGCACTGTGGTTCTGTAACTCGGGTACTTTCTGTGTTTGTGCAAGCAGCTGTAACGCTATTTATTTATGATGTTTATTAATTTTACTTTTATAGTGTGACTTCCTAATGAAATTAATTTAATTGGCATATTACTATTGCCAATACATTGTTTCTGAGACCAAAACATTTTAAGGCATATGCACTTATCCAAAGAGTATACCTTTTCATTAGAAGAACTGCCATCTTTAGACTAAAGACAGAATGATTACAATGCCTCATTGAGGACCACCGTTCACTGAGCTAGTCAAGGTGTGTAGTGCACTATTCCTCTTTGTCTGTCCCTAACAAGATATTAAACATGATTTTAGCCTCCAGCAAGCAATTTACTGCGGCTATGTATGGAGGAAATTAAACCAAACCCAAAAAACTACAGACTTCCAGTTTATGAAACAGCTGATCTCGTTTGAATATTTTAATCTGCTTTACTAGCAGTGGGATCTGACAAAACAATAAAGCATTAGAACACCGTTTTACATTAACATTTACAAAATACAGCAAACATTTTTCTCTATGTATTTACATAAGCAAACATATGTATTCAAAATAGAATGCATCTCACCGTTTGGCAATAATATTACCTAAGTACAGTGCATGACTGACAGAATGAGATAGATACAGAGGATTTTTTACCCTGAAGTATATAAAGTGTGCACACCAGCTTAGGAGATATATGGTGAGCTTTATGTCTTTGGACATTTTTCAGATGCAGTTTAAACAGTAATAAAATGTAAATCTATTTGAAAAATTGTTGATTAAAACATTTTTCAGTCAAAGTAATTTTTTTTGGATGCAAACGTGACGGACTGACTCATCAAACAGGGAGAATACTTCTCCTGTGTGGTAGGGGAAGACCCTAACCTCAGAGCTATTCTATAATGAATGTTTTTTTTTTTATTCCTGGAAATTTTCAGACATTTCCATTCCAGTCTGATGCATATAGAAAACACTTTTTTTTTTTTTTTTTTTGCAAGATAGAATTGTTGCTCTGAAGCTGGTCACGTTTATTAAACTGTAGTGTTCTGGAGTTCAAGAGGTCATTCCAAGCATAGGCCCCAGTGCTATAAAATTCTGGTCTTAAAACTGCTGATCTTTGACATCTGTCAGCAATATGATGACTCTCTTAATTGCTATCTACTGATTATTAACCTTCCAGATCCAGAATGGTGGGTATTAGAAATTCAGACACTGACTCTGTCATCCTCACTAAGGCAAACCACACAAAAATCTATTAACATATTCGTGCAAGATGGCAGAATCAGGCCTCACAATACGGTCAAAGATGTTCGTAGAGAGCTGGAGATATTGGTCCTTATCTTATGCATTATCTTATCTTGGCTTAGAGAGGCTTCTTAGGCAAAAGCCACTGATCACTCATTAAAACCACCTATCTGAGTGCTCACAGTATTAAAAAGTCAGGCATCAGATATCCCTACTTTTAACCGAAAAAGTGAGTATTATGTTACCTCCAGCTGTCAATTAAAGAAATGCTGTCAGGTCACTTAGGTCCAAAACATAGGCTTTATTTTAATAAGCTGGAAAGAATTTAATGCTCAGAGTCATTTTTTAAAGAAACGTCAAGTGAATAATTGAACTCCTTTTTGTTTGTAGTGAAACATTCCCCGTCAGTATTTGCAACCTGAGCAATTTGACATTACGAAAGAGAAACAGAAGGTGAAATGAATGAGAAACAGAGGGGCTGATTTGCTGTGCCGTGTGGGTGAAATGCAGACAGTAAGCAGAGAGCATAAGCAGTCAACATTAAATGCTTAGTAACAGCTTATTGAGCACAGCCTGGTGAAGGAGACTGTGCAGGGCAGCAACTAGAGCCTCAGGAGGTTCTGGAAGAATTGAGCTTCAGAGAAGTGCAGGACACCCATGTAAATTTTTTGGTATGCAAGCCAGCTCTGCTCCCTGACACAAACTGATGGTGGGGCCAGGAATCACTGCTCTCTCTGCCTCTTTCTCTCACATGGCAGATGCTCACATCAAGATGGGCACAAATTTTACAAAACATGGCAATTCCGTGCACTGGTGGAAGCTCCTGTGTTTCCTTTCCGATAGAGTCCCTTCAATCCTATGTCAGTATTCATCGTATGAAAGCAATTTGGTTTGGTGCCCGATCCTGAGCCTCAGACCTCTACCCAGAAAAGAGCTCAGTTTTTATTACTGCCTACCTCTTTGCTAAGGTGCCCAAGCCCAAGGGTGAATCCTGAAAACCATTTTCCCAGCTGCTAAGTGGAGGCATCTAAACACCAGGAGGTATCTGAAACCCCATTACATTGAATGCCTTGGAGCTCTTGTGCTCCAAGTGCTAGTGCTTGCCTGGCTGGCCTGGGTGATGCGACCTGGCTCCTGCCCTTAGGGCAAACCTGCTGGTTTAGACTCTACATCAAACTCAGCAGGAGACAGAGGAAAGTCACTGCTTCCACCTGGTACTCCAGTGGTCCACTTGCTCAGCAGTGCTTAGCAGATTCCAGCTGAAATCCTTTCTCTGCCTGTGTAGGGATGAAGACTCACAACACCCTCTTGCTGTGCTACTCTGGAGTGGGGTATGTGTAGGGAGAGGAGGGTACCAAGTTCATTTATCCTTCTGCCGAGGCAGTTTCAGTTTGGATGTGATGACTGAATGTTTCCAAGGCCAGAGAGAGCATATAAACAAACTCGGCTTGAGCACAGTGCTTAGACCACTTGCACGGGGTCCTGTAATTCCAGTCTTCTTTCAAAAAAACAAACAAAACCTCAATTTCTCTGGGTTGTTCTTGTTTTTTTGGAGGGCCATTAGTGGCCATGTACTGATGAATAACACATGCCATTGCTCCAGCAGGGCACAGCACGCCACTTTCACCTGCGCACACACACTGAGGCTGAAGGCTGTGAGGGGAGTCGTTGTCACTAAGCCTACACAGAGCTCCTCAGTGACCTGTGCCAAGCGGCTCTGACCCATCCCATGTTGGGAGTTACCGCTTGTAAAACCAGCAGATTTGGTTTTCACACTGGCAACAGAACAATAAAAGCAATTGCTTGAAAATCAGCAAAATAACCACCCAAGATCAAAGTCCTCCTCTGCTACAGAATTCAACATTTTAAACTAAAGGTCTCCGTCTTCCAAACAAACATGCCAGTGCATAGGATAGAATCAGATTCTGTCTGTCTCTTTCTTTGCCTGAGGATTTATTTAATTTTTTTATGAAAATTGGACAACTTCAAAAGAAGGACTTACAAAATGATGAAGGCATTGGAGTTTGGCTTCTAGATGAAGCAGTCCTTTTTTCAGAGTGGACAGAGTCTGAGACAAGTCCATCCTACTTCTCCGGACTATGGTTGCAAAATCCATGTAAAGAATCACATATCTGGATTTAAGTTCTACAGGTGGGTGCAACGTTTATGTTTCTGCTCTCCGGCAGAGCCCCACTGGCTTCAGTGAAACTGTCTGTGATGCCCGAAAGGCATCATGGTTTCATGACTAGGCATTTCTGTAAAACAATGTAACTGGTGTTCTTTACATAATGTATTCTGCCCTTGGAGCTGTGCAGTGAAATACTGTGGTGTTTATAAGTCCGTTACTTTCAAATGGGCCCCATTTGCCCATATATATTTCATTAAGGCTGAGTCCTAATAGTGCAAGCTACCTACTGTTCCTGAGCAATCTTCCGTAACAGCAAAACCAAGGAAACCAATTTTGTGCAAGTAACAGTTTTCTAATAATTCTGACTCTACAAGCACTAAAACAAAAATCAAAAGCATAATTGCCTTTTTAACCAAAGAGAAATGGTGAGAGATAATCTGTTGAAATCCCTTACGAAAGGTTTAGTCCTGCAAAACTTCCACTGACATTACTTAAATCAGACTGTTGGAACTGGACCAGAAGAATGGATATGGAATGCTTCCTAAAATTATGTAGCAACGTTTCACCTGATATTTCATGCTCTTCTCTCACTTAATTTCTCTGTCAACACCAGTATGAAGGAGCAGAGAACCAAGCCCAATAATTACTCTTGAAAAAAGTATTTTCACATTTTAAATAGAACAGATGAAACTTGTGGAATGGAAATAAAAGTGCAAGACATGAAATAAAGATTAAGAGTGGTGGTAGAATCAAGGGAGCATTCAAGTACAATTTACTTTTGATGACTGCTAATTTGAACTACAGAACAAATGGCAGAAGAGCCCAGTAACATTTCAGAATGGTCATTCAGAAGAAAATATAGCCATAAAAACCCTGTTACCAAAATTTCTATAACTGATCTATACAGGTTTTAATAGATTTTTCTTTAATGTTTCAAAATTTATTTTAAATATATATTAGTAAATAAACCATCATTTTATTTAAAATTCCATAAAGTGCTCATTCAGTAATTGATAACAAACTTCCATATAGCAAGACAAACTAGCTGGAACCTAATCTGCAAGGAAACCAAAGAACGGCTTAGCTTTCATTTGCAAAAACAAAAGAAATGCGTAGATTTCTTCACAGCCCATGTTATAATACCAGAAATTGCATTTTTTCTTTAAGAAATATATCCTTTAGAATATTAAAAAAATAAGTTTAATAAAGCCTGTGCTTAAAACAGCCAAAGTACTGTATGAAAAAAAATTGCACATTTGATACCATTTCAACCCTGTTTTTCATCAGTGGGATGATATGAGGCGTATGTGATGTTACTGGAGGGTCTCTTGAACAGGGCTAATTTTCCTAAGCTATCAGAGCCTCTCACAGCAAGGTGAAATTTTCAGCGTACACATTCTAGTTGTCATGGCAGCTGCCAACAGGCTAGCAGAGTCACACACAGCTAACCTTTTCATTCACTGGATTGATATTTCCCTTTGAGGTACCATCTAAGTGACGTATTCCTATTGTAACCATCGAATAATCCTTAGCCATCATTTTGGCCTCTTTTTTCAAACTCTTCATTTGTGCTAGCTGGAGCTGGCTGGAGTTATACGCAAGCGCTGGGATAGTGTTCACCAAAATCAACTGGAAAGGTTTCTTCTCCTCCTTGTAGCGACACTGAATGTAACGAGAAAAAGCGGAGCGGTAGGTTTTATTGAACAATGTGTATACGAGTGGATTGACAGCCGAAGAAAGGTAGCCAATCCAAACAAATACATTAAGTAGTCCTCCAATGACTTCTTCATTGCATGATTCCTTGCAAATTACAGCCATCACATTGGTGATGAAAAATGGGCACCACATCACAACAAACAGGAAGAAGACAATGCCAAGAACCTTGGAAGCCTTCTGCTCATTGCTGATGGATTGCATCGTTCTCCTCCCGGAAGTCCCCGTGTCTCTGTTCAAAGACCTCTGAAAGAGTTTCTCTGAAGACAGGGAGCTCTGAGGGAGGAAACTAAATGAAGCAAACTTGGTCTTTGGGCCAGGGTCATTCACACATAAGGTAGCTTCTTTCTGCAGTGACTTGATAGTTAAAAAATAGGTCACCACCATGATGGTTAGAGGGATGAAGAATGCCACAAAAGAGCCTATTAGGACAAAATTCTCATCTGCAAGTAGGCAGCTGTCTTTCTTAAACACTTTGGAATCATCTTGTAGACCAAAGACTGGTATAGGCATGGAGATACCTGAAGGTGGATTAGAGAAAGAGAACGTTAAACACAATAATAATAAATCCCACTTCCAACCTCCAAGAAAAATTAGGCAAAACACCCTGACCTGTACACAAATCATTTCACAAAAAATGAGCAATGAGTAGTTAGTTAGAGGACATAATTTAAACCAACAGATACAGCCAAAACTGATAGACCTCCTAAAGCAAATTGAATTTGCACAGTCAACGGAATAGTATTGCGTCTCATGTTTCATCAGCGACATGATGCTAATCCTGTTCTTGGGACATTTTTACTGGGACTACAGTAACAAAGGATGCTGTATGAAGGGTTGGTCTTGCAGATGTCAAGTTTTATGAACTAAGCTGTGGTCTGCTGGGCCCTGGCATTTGTAAGTGGCTGTAATCACCTTTACAGGATTCTAGCAAAGAAGAGTAGGAGAAAAACAGCACTGAGGTTACTAAAGGGATTCTGCAGTTGTTCTAATCTAGATTCCCTCTCTCCTTCAAAAAAACTCAGCCACAGGTAGAATACGTTTCCATGAAACTTTCACATAACGCCTGATAGCAGCAGAAGCATAAGTTCTCCTGTTCTTGGGTCTTGACCCCACTTGTAATGATCTCCAGACTTGCTCCTTGCTCCCTGCTACTTTGGCAGAGGCTTTTATCAATTGTAGGCAAGATGATATCTCCTCCTTTTTTTCTCATACTGGCTGTCAACTGTTAAAAGTGGCCTTAGCCTGTTTTTCATTAGAAGATTTCAAGTGTTCTGGGTAATGATTTCTGACTAGGCTGTGAAATACCAAGCTATTCCAGGAGGAAAGAAAAAAATTTTTAGCAGGTCTGAAGTGATCTTCTGCTGGATCTTTTTCTTTTCCCCCCTGCAATCTTCATACAGTCGACGCAGGCTAAATGCAAAAAAAAAAAAAGAAAGCTTTCCATGGCAACAGCCAGGGAAAAGATGAGGCCAGATTAAACACGGAGGGACACCAGTATGAGACAGCCTGAGACTTAGTTCACCCTCCAGGCCTGTGTATGTCCCTTTCTGGTGCTGTCAGCCTATATAGGCTTTACGGTGCTGTCAGCCTATATAGGCTGCCCTCTCAAAGCACAACTCCCAAGGCACAGCAGCACTGCAAACCTTCTCTTCCCTTGGAGCACGTACTCTGTTCTTGCATGGTAATGTTCAGCAGCCACGATGATAAAGTGTAGACTGCTCCACCTGATTCAAGCCCACTCAGCCATTTCCTCAGGGACTTCTGCAAATGCTGCCAGCATCTGTGCAAAACCAAACAGCTGCTGTTTGCTTGGTCATTGGTGTTTTTTTAAAATAGTTCTTTCCTCCACTCCCCGAAGCGGATGCTAGCTTTCCAAGAGAGGCAATATTCAGACACCAAAAGGGATGATGTACTGTTAAGACGATGAAAGTGGAGTTGTGAACCAGGGAGCAATCCTGCAGCCCTATTTGGGTGAAAGCAGCTAGGAGCCTGACTCCTGCAGAAAGTTAGCATAACCTAGAAGCCTCACTCCCCTTTGCATCTTTGAACAGCAATCCCAGATGCTGTGTTCAGCTTTTGAAGAAGAAACAGGGAACCAGAGAAGAATTTCTCATGATGCCTTGCCCTGTCCCCTGTATGTCCAGCAAGTCCTTCTTGGTTAGAGTATGGGTTTTGAACCTCATCGTCTCAATGTCAGCACACAATGGCACCTGTCCTCTACCTCACCTCCTTTCCCTTCCTCCTACTCCACTGCTTAAAGCACAGGCTCTCTCTTCATTTCATGTATGCGCAGTGCCCAACATAACAGTGCTGCAGTCCTGGAGAGGGGCTCTAGAGTCCAGACGCAGTACAAATCAACAATAATAATAGCAATAATAGTATTAAATTATTATTCTTTTCAAATGTTCCATTCTTACAGTGCTTCTGAAGCTTTCGCAAGGCTCTTTATTTTTCTAACAACACTGTAGCTTATTTTATCTGCACAGCTTTGAATTGAGTCATTGTAATGCCTTGAGCCAATTACAAGAGCACCGTTCTTATCTGCCCAGGGCAGAAGCCAGTGGATAGCCTGCGGTATTGCTCTTTCTATTTCTGTTCCAAGACTGCACAAGCCTAAATAGAGGAACTTAGGGTGTGAGAAGCCAATGTGTGAGGTGCAAAATCATGCAGTGTGTGGCAGCTCCTGGGTCAAGCTGACAGAAACCCCCAGCGACTCCAGGCTCCGAGTCAATGTGACTGACAGTGCAGAAGTCACCTACAAGAGCTGCGTTGCCCAGGGAAGGCCAAAAAATTTGAGACAACAGAAGGTGCTGAACACTTCCAGGCACCTGGGAATGCTTTGAATTTCCTTTTCTTCTGGGGGTGAGTGAAAGGGATACCGAAGGCACCCAGTGCCTCCCAGCATTAGGCTTCAGCTGCATGAAAATACAGCACTAGTCGAGCAATACCACAAGTTTCCTATCCAGTTCTGCCCTCTATAGATAACAGCAGGGCTGATTTGTCCTCTCATTCAAGGACCTAGTGTGAGCTGCAGAGATAAAATAAGCAATGGTATTGACGGAGTAAAAAGATGCCTTTCACTGCTACGGACCTTATGGTTCAGAAGTTGCACCCAGGAGTCATAGGAGGAGAGCCAGCAGCACTGGAAAGAGGAAAATTTTAGCAAAATTGCGAGCTTTTTCAAGTAAAAGGCCAAAATCAGTTGCAGGTCCTCACCCAACACAGGGGCAGCACTTCTCCATCTGTTTTGTTTTGTTGTTGGCAACGTCTGGAGAACTGATCTCTTAAATCCAGATTTCTGGCTTTAAAAAGCGACTGAATGGAAATGAACTTCAGTTTGTAACTGGAGTTTTGACATCTCCTTCTGATTCCTTTAACAAGTGCAAAAGCACTCTTCACAGCAGAGCTGTAGCAGTCCCTGGTAGTCGTATATGTTTTTCTGAATGACCGTTCAAGGCAAGAAGATAGCCTGCCTCTACAGCCTCAGATAGCTGGCCTATATACAGTTCAAAAATACCAGAGATAACACGTTTTGATGAAAGAGAACACTGGTAGCTGTTACCTGTGTTTTGTGTACATCCCAGTTCAGCTGACATAGAGGATCCCACAAATGATAATATGCCATTCCTGCATGGCGTGAATTAACTTCCAGCCCAAGTCTCCCCTTTCGTATGCCAGCTGAGACTGAACTTATTTCCCCCCATAAAGGAACATAATTTGTCCCTCTTCAACATGTAGCTTCTGGCTTCTTGTTAGCGGAAGGATGGCAAATCCCATTGAGGACAGAGGGACCAAATTCAAAGGCAACCATGTTTAAACTGGAAATAAAGGAGCTTCCATATGCAGCCTCGCTCCACTGTTCTGATGGGATTTTTAAGAGGCGTCACACACGGCCAAGGAAGTCATTCACGTGTCACTCAGGTAGGGGTAAGATCAAACTCATACTCCAGACGCAGATAACAAAAAGTTCTCATCTAAGCTGTATTCGTGCATTCACTGATACATGAAAAATGCATGCTGATGCAGCATGCATTTAGCCGCATATTAAAAATGTTAAAGTCATATTTAAAATAACAGAGTTGACAAAGGTTGTGTTAAAAATAACTGTCCCCATTTACCCCATCCTAGCGTCTTGCAGAGGAAGAGCCTGAGCAAACAGATAGGCAACATGGCACTTCCCTAAAGGACCACACATTCAGGCGTTAAAGAAACAAGAGAGGGGGAAAGCCCAAGACTGGGCTCTGCAGTCTTGTGGGCCATAGCAGCGAGCATCCTCCCACTAGCCAAAGATACCAAAGCACTGTGTCTGCAGGTGAGGGTCCCAGAGTGGGCTAGAGCCCCGAGCATACCCCAACCAGTCCTCAGCATCCAGCCAAGCTGTGGTAGGATATATGTGGCTTTCCTGAAAATTCCCACACTCTTTAAGGGTGTGAGCTGAAGCTGCACTTCAGCCTGCATTTCAGGATCTGGCCAATGGGTCTGCCCACAATGCTTATTCCATGCAGTCACCACAAGACCAGATGAAGTATGTAGTGGTGAATGGGCTAGGCTTTTTGCGCAGAGCTCACCTATACTGCACATAAGCCGCATGTATCAGTTTGCACTAGGGGCTAGCATGGGCCCAGATCTTTTCTCAGACCACTCCTTAACCTCACCTAAATCCTGGCCTGCATGTGGATTTGCACAATGTGAACCTGAGGTGGGTTCATGCTTGATGACTGGATCGTGCTTAGTCCTAACATATGTATAAATATTCCTAAATTCTCTAGGCACCATATTTTGCTCAGGCAGCTTAATGACACAGGTTTTATTAGCGCTACGATAGACCAAATATGGTTGAGAAGCCAAGTGACTTTTAGAGCAAAATTATTACTTTGTCTTCAGAAAAACACTACTGTCAGTGTAGACTGCAACACACAAGTCCTGGAATTTTACTTGAGACAACGTCCAGTAAAATCAATAGAAATGTTCCTATTAATTTCAGTGCAATGTGGATGGGGCCTAAATTGGGTAATCAGATTCCATGCAAATTGAATATTCTTCAGGAGCAACCCACATGAAGCTGAACTACATTCATCGCAGCTTGGCAATGACTGAATGGTTGGCATGGGTCAACTATTAGCTTTTATCATATATTATAGCAACTAACTGAATTCATTTGTTAAAGATCAAAGCAGACTGGTCTATTTCTCCTTGATAATTCAAATATATAATTTATTGATGTTTATACTGCCCTTGCTTTCCATTCCCTACTCTTGGTGACTGTGGCTGTCTAAGTAAGAAGACACAGAATGTGCGTGTGCATTCCCATGACAAGAGAAAAAAATCAACTTCCCTGGAAGTTGAACAGCCCTGGAAGGGCTGTTGCAGAACCACACTACTTTCCTGCCTCTCACTAAGCTCAAGGTCACTCTGGAAAAATGCTGGTATTCCCTGAGTGCTTTTTTACAGTTTGACTTACCCTACTTCCAAAGCAAATGAAGCTGAGGCACAGGGGAAGCATTCAGCACACAACAGG